AATCTCAGCACTGCCGTCTGGAGCCCTTACGCAGGGGTGTCCAACCTTTTAGCATTTCTGTAACACACTGGAAGAAGAGTTATTTTGGCCTCCCATTAAATACACAAACACTAATGAAACCATAAAAAGTCTCATAATGTTTTAAGTAAATTTACGATTTTGTGTTGGGCTTCATTCATGGCCATCCTGGGCTGCATGTGGCCAAGGGTTGGACACCCCTGCTAGTGAATAGAAACACATATTTTTAAATTCTCTGACACACTTCTAACATTCTCAATGTATTTTCTTATATCAGCCTTTCCTTGAATTGCATGGGACAAATAAACCTAAGATTCAATAACAGTTTCTTGATGAGTTATTTTTGATGAAGGTTTTGTAGCTATTTTGCAAGAGTTTGAATAACACCTTGCACTTTTTAAACTGAAATCTAAACACAGCTTCAACAAAAGGAATTAAGTCATATATTCAAAAGAAATTAACATATAACTTTGTTCCTCAATGTCTTCACAGAGACAAGTTACTTTTACACTTTAAGTATTATATAAATATTTCTATGACATACTTTTCTTAATGTTTTTATTTTTCTTCTAACACTGGGTTGAAATTCTTTAATGATATCATTTATACACTTAGGTTTTTAATATTTAAGTATAAAGAAATAAAATATGTATATCTGGTAAAACATACACATATTTTATATATTTATAATGATTATAAACATAAAAGAATCATGAACATGAAATATTGCTGATAGTTTTAGTTTGGGGGTTTGTTTTTTACTTCATTTTTTAAAAAATTTGTTTTTTTCACAGACATTTAAATAATAGTAATAATAATAATAAGTAAAATTTGAGAGTTTATGTCTTTTCTTAGTTTAATTTATTTTATGAAATAAATAGAAAAACCACTATTTGACCTATGTCTGTGAGAATACAAAATAGAAGTTTTTAATATATATATAATGCATACAAACTGAAATATAGGTGCCTCAGGTAAGATAACACTCTCAGAATAGTTTGAATTAAAGTCTCCATTTTAACATCTTAAGGGCCTTTCAATTTACCCCCAAGGTGTTAAATATGGTAGCAGAATGGGGACACTAAGTGTCACATTTTGGTTGACTGGCTGACTTTTCATATTTACACCAGAAGTGATGATTTATTTAACAATATTACATATGACTATTACTTAAATCCATTAAGTTGAAATACCAATTTTCTTCTCTAAACCACATATATAATTCAATTTAGATTGCTCTGCTCTTTTAATTCTCATGCAAAATCGAAATAATTATGTTAATTTATATTTGAGCACTGAATGATGATTACATGATTGAATGTAATTGCTGGTGATCTAGAAATGGCATAAAATTTATTCTCACACTAGTTGCCAAATTTTGAATTAAAAAAATCCTAAAAAGCAGATTAAATACTAAAAATATACTTACAGATTAAAATTACTTAGGCATTTTATAAGATTTTAGGACAGTAGTCATTAAGATACATTTAATCTATGTTTTTAAGTTTATAATAAAATGAAATAAAATTACTTTATACAGAATATTTAAAATTACTTTAAGGCGCCTTTTTGTCTATCTCTAAATGGCAAAGCATTGATGATCTTCATTAAAATTGACTGTGATATATGAATATAGAATAAATTATGGAGTACTGAGAATTGGAACAGAAGACAAGTTAGGAAATTCAGGCAAACTCTGAGAAAGTCATTCGAAGAAAAGTATTCTATGCAAAAGCTACCATTCCCATAGTAAAAATTAGAGTATGAGTAAGATAATTTTATCCCCCTAGAAGGAGGACAATTTAATTAAGTGTAACAAAACTGATTCCTCATCTCTCCTCCTTCTTGCTCCTTTCCATTTTTTCTGTCTTTCCCCATTCCCAGTTCTGGGCTTTCAGGGAAGGAATTTGATCAATCTTTTGTTTTACTTGTCAACAATGGTAATAAAGGTTGGTTGTAGATGCACATTCATCCAGAAAGTGGCTGCTTTCTTTATTCTGTAGGAAGTAAAGTTCATCTCTTAAAGAGGATGTGGAGAGCTGGACCAACACCATGATAAGCGATCTCTTCGGGAATCAAATACAACCTGAATGAAACCTATATTCCAGAACAAGATATAACAGGAGACAAGATGAGGCAAAGAGGAGTTAAAAAGCAATAATTTCTGCATGGACACACTAAAACCAAGAGAAGTAGAAAATCAAAAGAAAAAATATATATATTCTGCAAAGCAAAATGAGTAATATGAAGACTGGGAAACCACCATTGGATCTGACCATTGAAAAATAATTGGTAATCTTCAATGACAGCTTCTGCATAGATCAGAAAAGTATTAGCTGTTTAATGATTTGATGAATTCAGTCCTATTTATAATTTTCTCTCAGAAATTGGTATAATAATCAATATTTTAAAAAGAAGAGGGAAAACGGGTGATTTCCTATGATATTACTAATAATTGCAGACTCCTAATATAATCTCTTTTAATCTAAGTATCTATAGGTTGTTTTAAGAGTCTATTTAAAATTGTTATTGAGACATTAATGTCAAATCTAAGGTTTCTGGAACATAATTCTTAAAACAAAATATGAGGACATATTCTCATCTCCAATATTCTAGGGGCTCCCCACGTTTGGATGACTACATAGGGTTACTTGAATGAGATAGGATTCTCTTTAAAACTTCCCCTGTTTTTCCCTGGAATATACTTTGTTTGGGCCAGGAAATGAATTATTTTTAAGCAACCATCTGCTCTTACATTATCCTGGCTTTATTTTTCTCTTACCCACATTTTTTTTTGTTTGTTTAAAGACCATTTTCCTTGACATGGGGATGGTACAACAAAAACATTGGGCATTTCTGTTCTCTCTTTATAATATACGCTGGTCTCAATTATTAAAAACAAAATTTTCAATTTCTATTTGAGGTACAGTTTATGTTATAAGTATAATTTCTTATCTCCATAAGACCTTATATATGCAAACAGGGTAATCAGAATAAATAAAACCCCTGCAGGCTTATACACAATTGGAGAAAGAAGATTCGAATGAAATGAATAGGTGTGTGTGTAGGAGAGCAGGGATGGTGATGTGGAAAGCAGTAAATCGGTCACAGATACATGTGCAAAGTATTTTGTAAAATCCTAACCAACTGGGTTTTTGGCATGACTTCACAGACACCTGTAATATATTTTATTGCTATAATTCTGCAATGGTAAATTAGTTTCCTCTACTTTGTACTGTATAACCTGTGTTTTACAATTTGAATTATTGTCCATTATTTTTAAGAACTATTGAGTGATCATAAATTTGATTATTACAAGAGGTTTTATGTAATCATATGTGGTAATGGCTCACCATCAGTCCATTGACTATTACATTTGTCAAATTCATTTCCCTCCACTTTCATGAAAACACAGGGTTTCACTCAAAACCTCTCTTTACTACACTGAAATAAACTAAATTTATTCTACTTCTATACCTTTAGTTATGCTTTTGAGTTACATTTTCTAGGTACTATATTTTTCTGCATGTTACCTAACATTCAAGAATCAGTTTAAGCCTCACCTCCCACTTAAACCATTCTCTAAGGAGGACTCCAATCTCAATAATTCTATCACATTTATGAAAACCACATATTACGCCAGATGTGGAGGAAACCACAAAGGGTAACCACAAATTTGCTATTTGTCCTTCAGTCCTTTATAGCTTTAGTGTTCTATGAAATAAGTATATTGCTAGAAAAATGGTATTTGCACAGTAAGTGCTTAGCCTTATAAATAGGGAGCAGTTAACACTTTTAAGATGACTCCCTCGCAGTGTTAAAACTAGTTGTAAAAACACAACTTGGGGGAGGGCAGGGTTGGAGGGAAAGGGATAATAGAGAGGATTGGCCTTGGGGTAAATCTGAATATTAGAAGTAAAGAAAATGACAAAACCATCTCGTCATTCCTTCTGGCCACACAGAGGAAGATATTAGATATCCGGATACTAAATGAAGAAGAGTCAGAGAATTCTCAATAAAGAACAGGCAGATTGGTGAGAAGCCAAAGGAAACTGGCATTGATTAAAATGCTACAGGAAACCTACTAGTTGTTTCATACATTTTACCTAACTCAGCCCCCATCACAGTCTTTGGAAGAGTTTATTGTTATTCACACTCTGTAAATGAGGAAACTGAAGACTGTATATGTGTGTGTGTGTGTATGTCTATATGTTATATATATGACTAATAAGGTACTTGCAGTTTTGCTGCATAAAAATAAATGAAAAAAAGAAAAATATATGTTTGGTTTATAAAGAGAAAATATTCAATTTATACATTGTTTTAGAGAGTAGGGAATAAACACAGAAACTATAAACCTATGACACGGTATCATACGTATATTAGGATTCTTTCAAAATGAGAAAGACTGACACATCAAGCCAAAAGTCTTTTTTTTGTTTGTTTGTTTCAGGGAGACAATCTAGCATTAGACAAGTACATCCTCCCTTGTGAAAATATATTTTTAGAATTCTAGCAAATGCAAGCTTAATGCAACTGGGAAATGGAAGAAATGTCATAAATAGAAACACACAGTTTATAATATTCATTTTTAAAGCATAACATTTTCTCTTCACATAATTCTATGAAGGCTGTTCAATTCAGACATATTCTATCAGTCTTATTTTAAACTGTGTTTTTTCCATTTTACAGTTTTACCCCCACTGAAATAAACAGGTCAAAGGGCAAAATGTAAATGCACAGAAGCCATTTAACAAAGTGCAAAATAAAACAAACAAAAAAATAAACCTCATGAACAATCATACAGACACAAACACATATCACAAATTGAATAATTGAAATAATATATATTTGTATTTGTAAAAGTTTGTGACTAATATTTATATACTGAACTAATATTATCCCAAAAGTGTTGGTGCCATCATTTAAGTGCCTTAGAACACTGAGCAGAAAAAATGAATCATGCAAAATGGACAGCTCACCTTTAACTTTATTTTTTGAAGCAGCCGCTGTTCCAAGGAAGGATTGCACAAGAAGAAGAGAACAAGGATATTAGATGTTAGATAAAGTCTCTAATAAGAAAAAGAGATATGTTAGTACTGTTAGCTAAAGTCTAAAAAGATATGTTTATTATTATATGATCAAAACACTTTAGATGAATAGGACCTTATAACAAAGAAAATGACAATTAGTTCTATTCTATTAGCATATGATTAAACTTCTTTAATAGAAAAGAATAAACTAGATGGGAACCACACAATGCAAATTCCAAAAACCATAGTCATAATTCCTTTAAGGACTGTAAATATTTCTTTCTCTATTTTCTTTTTAACTCTGAACTTTAGATAACATTTCAATTAAAGAAATAATATATATATAGTTTAAAATACATTTCAGATTATTTAAGTATTAAAATATAGTATTTTTTATTTGAACAAATGATATTTGAACAAATGATAACAAGCCACTTGCATTTATTGTGCATTTACTAAATGCCAGAGACTGAGGTTGAACCCCTTCCACACATCTTCCACTGAATGGGGATAGCCTCAAGGAGTAACTCTTGTTATTGTTTCACAAACGTGGAAACTGGGAGTCAAATTACTTGCTGACTATGATACAAAAACAAAAACAAAGCTGAAAAAAAATTTGGAATTTGATTCTAGGTATAATTAACTTCAAAAATTCTTACACTTTTGCAGCGGTGTCAAACTCATTTTCAAACCTGGGGCCGCATCAGGTTTATGGCTGCTTTCAAAAGGGCCAAATGTAATTTTAGGACTGTATAAATGTAACTACTCCTTAACTGTTAAGGAGTTGAAATTACTTTGGACCCTTTAAAGGCAATCTCGATGGCGATGTGGCCCCTGGTGAAAATGAGTTTGACACCCCTGCACAATTGTGATTTAAGGCACTGATTCAATCAACTAACTTGCAAACATCAGGTCTATGAAGCCAAATCAAAACCAGTTGATTTGTTAAACTCCAGCTATTTGGTATTTGGTTGACCACATAGCTATGAAACCAGAAAACTCCATTACTTTAAATGGCTTTATTACCATTATGAAGCAGATAATTAAGCTTATTTAAAGCTTATTTAAATAGTGATAAACACTATTTGGGTTTTATAGTTATCAATTAATGAGAAAGTTATAACAGAACTATAGGGGAGTTATTTGCTCAAAGGATGATTTCTAGACAAAAATACATAATTAGAGACCTCTAAACATTTTGAAGTAATACATTCTATTTTGATTTAATTACTATTTAAAAACGCAGACTGACAGAGGGAAGAGTGCTTTTTCACTCTCTAAATGATATTAAAGATGAAGTGATAACCTATCCCTAAATTAGGTGATATGCAGTCATTACTTTGGCATACTGACCTTGCATGATGTTTAATTTAGATTTTAGCTAAAGTACTTATGAAGTATACATAGAGTGTTTAATCTACAGTTCATCTCATCAAGTTATTTGAAGCAAAATAAAAAAAAATTCTAGCAAATCTAGGTACAAGCCAGACTATTACAGGGAATTTTATTTGTGTTCACAATCATAAACATGATCTTAGCATTTTCTTCCACTAGCTGATATAAAAATGTACATCATGTTTATAAAATATTTTTCCAGATAAAAATATATTAAGTAAAAGCAAAAATATTTCCAAAATCCTTGATGAAATCTTTTGTAAAACTCATTCAATCTCTGTTTATTCCATAACTTTAAAATGAAGGCATTTGACTTGAGAGGGAGAATGTTTATAGTCTTGTTATGAAGATAAAATTCAAACTAAAAAGCAAGGACCCAAAATTAAACTACAAGTCATATGGTGATATTGTTGCTTACTATCATATAACAAATCATAATATAATTTATAAACCATTTAAATCCCTAAAATACTTAATATTAAAGCTTAAATTTTAAGTTATTTTTACCAAAAAATGTACTCCTATTTGATGAATAAAATAGTTTTACTTCATTGTTTATTTTGTTATAAAGTTGATATATTTCAAAAATTAGAGATGATATAGATTTAAAAAATAATATTTCATCTTTCTCTAACATTAGCTTCTGAAATACTGATGTTAACTGTTTGCTAATGTTAGAAAAATTAATTGTGCTATTCTTAATCCAGCACCTTAGACCACTCTGTCATGCCATCTCCGAATTTTGATATTCTTATAAAAACTCATAGCATATATATTTGTGTGTATTTAGTTTCCAAAAACAGAATAATACTATATGTTCAATATACTACATTGCAGTTTGCTTTTCCCACAATTTCCAAGTTAATATATGAGGCTCTAACTCACTAAGTTTAATAGTCGCATATATTTCTATAATATATATAAAGTATGGGGTGTCTGTATTGTTTTTTCCTGCTACTAACAATACTGAGAGAAATATCCTATGCCATATCCCTCAGATACTTCAGTGGTGTTTTGTTTTATAGGACAGATTTCTAGGTTATTTTCGTATTTCTATACAGAGAATTACTGACAAAAATGAACATCTGAAATACTACAGATGCTAAGGTTGGGAATAGTTTGAAAGAAAATATGGAAGCATATTGAATGCTATAAACAACAGAAAAACAAGAAAAAAAGAGAGAGAGAGAAAGAAAGAAAAATATGGAATTTACTTTTCCAAATAGCAGATACACCATAAAGTCTTTAGATCTTTTAAACCACAAATCATTTCATTTAACATTTCTTAGTATTTGGTTTTCAATAAAAAATTCAGTTTTAATTTGACCAGGATTGTAATAGATTTCAGAAGTCTAGTCATCAAGCGTTATTGTTATCTTTGTATTTAAGACCATACAAAGCTAAAAGACTTATGTTTTTTATAGAAAAGTATCATTTGCCTAAAAGTCATAGAAAACATTTTAATGAACAGTATAAGGATTTGTAAGTAAAAGGACATTTTACTTAAAATTCAAATGTATCTCTTAAAATTTTTTTCCTGAATTCAAAGCATTGCTAAAAGCCTTTAGAAATTTTTGAGACAAATATTAGTATCTAATATGTAACGGATACAAGCAATCTTTTACTAAAGTTATTTTATTAAAAATTACTGAAATAAAAATAGAGAAGGCAAATATTTGAATTTCTCATTGTCCAGGGAATGAATTATTGAAAGTTCTCAAACATTACATGAAGGCAGATAATTTTTTTCTTAGATTATCAGGTAGATACCAAAATAATAGAAAGGAAAACAAAGCTTTATGTCTGTTCTGTGTGTGTTCAGGCAGTTAATACTAGACTAGTCTGGTTAATATAATTGGAAAGAGGCCAGGCTACCAGGCTTGTTAGTCCAATTATAATTCTCTGAATATTCAATAAAAGAAGCCAAGATGACAGCAACACTGTCATAAATGTCATGTTCAATACTTGTAAGATTTTCCATTGTCAGCACAGCCCAATTATAAGTCAATTGTAAAGTGCACATTGCATATCACCCAAAGTGACTGAAAGTTATCTTAAAAATACAATTTTAATAGTTCTTAGTTATAATGAAAAAAAAAAAAGAATATAAAGGTATTTTAACCAGGGATAAATTTTAGATGTGACATCAACATTTCCTCACCATTTTAATAAAAGCAGCAAGTTGTAACTATGACATTATAGATATTCACAATATTTTTCAGAGATGATCTTAACATTAAATTTTAACTTATAATTATATTAATAACGTACATGTGTAATATTAATAATTTGCATGTGTAATTTCAAAGTAAAACCATGATTATAATTGAATCACCAGAGATATTTATAGATAAATACTGAATAGCTAATGAAGATTAGGAATCATATTAATAAGGTTTATCTCTAAAATCTCCAATAAAAATTATCAAAAATTAAAAATATAATTGTTACCAATTTAATTAGTTGTATTGAGTTAATCAACTGTCAGTCTATTTGGCAAGTATCACTATCTAATATTTTTTGAAGAACTGGTGAATTAAAGTGTTTCTCAAAATAAAGTACAGGGCATAAGCGCATTCTCAGGGATATTTAGATAAATTTGAAAACCCACCTCAAAAATGACATGACCTAGTCACATTTTCCCTGTTCTTTTAATTCCTACTACTTATTTTAAGATTTCCTGCATAACAAAATGGTGGTATATTTTGTTAGTATTTCCAATGTATGAATGATATAGAACATACTGTATTTGTGGTTGCGTTTTAGAAGTGTTTTTGAAAAGTTATTCAGCACTTAAACGTTTCATAAATGGGGATATGAAAGACATGACTAGTATTTATTCACACAGAACTAATGCTAAAGCACGATCCATCTGTGTATTTTAAGATGACATAAATTTTTTTTGAAATATCTTAATATTTTAGCCAGTGTTTTTTTATTCCTCTTTCCATAGCAAATTTATAAGTAAGATAACATTCTTCCCTAATAGGGAAGTAAAACATAAACTTAGAAAGCACTCAGTGCTTCCAAGGAGAGAGAAGTTATTACATCTATGATTTTATAGGCAGATATATTAGATATTTGCATCACCCAAAATTTATCTGCAATGAAATAAAACAAACACAACCCAATTCCCAATGGTATATACTTTAAAAATCTATCTTTAATATGAAAAGTTAATTGTTTTATACATATGTGCAAATTATAAAAGAAAGAAAATATATTGCCACTACTTCCTAGGGTAAGTGACTTTTTCTAGATCACAAAGTTATCTGGTAGCGAATTTACAAAGGAAACACCATGCCTGATAAACATATATTTTTAACTCTACTACATTAAAATTCTATCATTAGACAATAGTATAGCAATGTAGTGCTAATCAGTGCCAGCTGAGTTTGACTCATTTTTACAAAGAAGCAAATGCTGGGGTAGGGGAAAGCATAGGGGGGAAATTGGGACAACTATAGTTGAACAACAAGGAAAAAAATCATTAAAAAATAGTAAATCACACTGCTTTGAAAAGGAAAAGTATGAGTACATATAATTTATGAGACATCACAATATTATAGTCCTTTAAGAGATGGATATTAAAATAACTGGATTTCAGGTAAATACCTACTACATTTTCCTCTTTTAAGTGTTTTTCTATCTAACATAAAGTTAAACACATTTTTTCACTAATAACTTCAGATTTATTTAAAACAACTTTAGCTACTAACAGTCTAGCTAAAAATTGTCTAAATGCTAGAATTTGAAGACTTAAAGTTTGACATTAATTTTTTTCAAATGTGTTTTTTTCTTTAATAATAATCACACAAATTTCAAACTAGGATTTTTTTTAATTAGAGAAAGAAATTGCTAAACAAATTATACCCTAGAGTAAGTGATATTTGATGCATGGAAATAGCACTTCAAATACTTCGGCCAATAAAGAGAAAATAATAGAATTAAAAAACCATTCTACAATTCTACAATTCTACCATTCTACAATTCTTAGTAAGTTTTTATATGTAGACAGTGATACCATTCCTGATAATGTCATTGAAAACAAAACTACTATGCAGTACCTGGGAAGGACACATACCATTTAAGAAGTACTTTTGTCAACACAATAAAATCTGAATAGGATCATGCCTCTAAAATCTGAATAGGATCACGCCTCTACAAATTCCAATGCCCAATCAATACAGGAGATACATAAATTACATTAAATCAATGCAATTAGTCAAATCTTGAATGTGGGAAACCACACATAAGCAATTTTGGCATTTGATTTCCTTAGAAAATAG